GCCACTTTAACTCGTCGTAAAGGTGGGACACATGAGATCGCTTTGATGTACCGAAGACAAATCTTAAGCACGTATTCATGAGTCGCTTCAATCTATCCTCGAGTACCATCGGGATGCCTCCGTACACCACACAGCCGTAGTCAAAGTGGGGGAAAATGAGAGAGGATACAAGGAGCTTGCGGATGGGTTGTGGGAGTAGGTGGCGGGAGCGATGAAATAGCTTAAGGGTACCTATTGACTTACGGGAGATGAGGGCAATATGGGGTTTCCAGGAGAGGTTTTCGTCTATGGTGATTCCTAGGTTTTTAACGGATGAACTGAATGTGACAGGATGATCGTAGATGACTAAAGGAGGAAGGAAGGAGATGGATTTAAGAATAGGACTGGAACCTATAATAATGGCCTGAGTTTTCATCGCATTTAGATTTAAATTATTCAGACTTGCCCAGGCACTGATCCTATCTAGGTCAGCCTGAATATTGGCGAACGCGACTAGTAGCTCAGAAGGATGAAAGGAAAAATATATTTGGGTGTCATCAGCGTATAAATGATGTGAACAGTGGTAGATGGATTTGGAAAGATCATTTATGTAGGAGTTGAAAAGGAGAGGGGAAATGCTCGAACCCTGGGCCACTCCAGAGGACAGTGTAAGAAAGGAAGATAGGGGTTGGTTTGGAATGCTGACTGCTTGAGTTCTGTCGGATAGGAAAGACTGTAACCAGAGGATAGAGCTGTTGGAGAAGGATAGAGATTTTAATTTAGTATAGAGTATAGAGTGGTCTAAGGAGTCAAAAGCTTTGGAAAAGTCGAGAAGTATTAATACAGTTAACATTTTTTCGTCCATTGCGGTATGTAAGTCATTGGTAATTTTTAGTAGGGCGGATTGTGTGGAGAAGCCAGGTCGGAAACCAGATTGGAGAGGATCGAGTAGTTTTGAGTTTTCAAGGAATTTAGAGATTTGGGATTGAGCTATTCTTTCCAGAGGTTTAGAAAGGTTAGAAAGAATGGATATTGGGCGGTAGTCTTTAGGAGAGGTAGGATTGGGAATTTTGTTGATAGGTCTGACTAATGCTTTTTTCCAAGCAGTTGGAAAAACTGAGTTCTGGAGGGAAAAATTATAGATGAAAAGGAGAACTGGAACGACTTCGGGAAGGCATAATTTTAATAGTTTGACTGGTATCCCATCAAGTCCGATGGAGTTTGTGTGTGATTTCATTATAGAGGAAATTAGGTCGGTCGGTGAAATGTTGGAGAAATAGAAATTATCACTGTTAAATGAGGGTGATAAGGAAAACTGGTGAGAGGTGGGCGAACTGTTGCTGGTGGTGGAAGATATAAAGTAGGAATTTAGTTCATCGGGTGATACCGGGTAGAACGGTGAGGAAGAGGATTTACAAAGAGAGAGTTTACGAAGGGTTAGCCATATTGATTTAGAATCAGGAGCAGAAGCGAGAGTTTCGTGAAAGAAGTTTGATTTCGCTTTCCTGATCGTTGTTTGTGTCAAGTTACGGAGTACCCTATAGACTTGATAGTCATCTGCTAGTCGAGTTCGTCTGAAGCGTCTACGGGCTGCCTCACGTCTCTTTTGCATGTCGCGGATTTCTTGACACATCCAAGGAGCAGGTTGGCGACGGAAGGTTGAGATTTTGATAGGAGCATGTATGTCAAGAATATGGATAAGATTAGAAGTGAGGATGTCTACCATATGATCAATAGAGGTACAGGAATAAATATCGTTCCAGTTTAGGGTTTCAAGGTCCGGTAGGATTTTATCACGGGTGAGGTTGTCAATATTGCGGAAAGTTATGGTTTTAGGAAGAAACGTGGGAGTTTGGATATCGTACGATAATTTGATGAGCTCATGAGAAGAGAGGAAAGGAACGGGTAATTGAGAACAGGACAAGAGTTTCTGCTCTGAATCGATGATATGCAAGTCCAGCCAGGTGTCAGACCAACAAGTATGGTGTGTAGGAGCGAAAAGAACAATAAAAAGGTTGAGGGAGAAGAAGAGATTTTCCAAATAGCGTTTGTTGTTGGATTCTGTGAGGCGGTTGGTATTAAGATCACCGGAAATTATAATGTTATTATAGAAAGGGACATAATTGTACAAGGTTGATTCGAAGGATGAGTCAAAAGGAGTCAAGGGAGGGCGATATACGACCACATAAAGGAGAGGATGTGCTTTGCAAGAAATTTCAGCGAAGAGGAATTCAATGTGAGGATGATTGGAAGGGGATGAAATATCTAGAATACGGGGTTTCAGGCTATTATGAACATAGAGACCAACACCTCCGCCAGTCCGGGAAACCCGGTCATGACGGATGAAGGTATAATCAGGTAAGGAAACGGAAGAGGAAGGGATATAGGGCTTAAGCCATGTTTCAGAGACTGCAATAATGTGGTAGAAGTTACAGGTGAAATATTGGAGAAATTCGTCATAGTGAGCAGGAAGGGATTGAGAATTAACATGGCAAGTAGTTAAGACGCTAGACATAACGGAAAGGAGAAAAGTATACATATGATGGATGACGCTGTAGGTAAGAAAAAACTGTGAAAATCAATTTGGAAAGAAGTAAATAATGGCTGTAAGAGAAGAAAAAAAATACAAACAAAATAGAGTTAGGTTCAAAAATATGAAAGAGGAAAAAACAAAAAATTACATTGGTTAAAATAGAGAAACAATAATAACAATAGTAGTAGATGGGCAACCCAGCACGATGCTGTATTATACAATAGAAGATTGGAAGTTTACGGATGCATTCTGTAGGTTGACGTAAATCAGAAGGTCAGCATATATATATATATATGGGGGCTGGGGTAAGCGTACGGGCTAAGGCGGTTGCAATAGGTAATCAAAGTTAAACAACGCTGAGCTTGGTTAGCACTTGGGTATGTGAGACTCGTCAGCTTATTGGAGGCAACTCATACCGGGAGTAGGACTGATGACCTTACCCCGTGTACTTAATCGGGAATCGAGATGTGGTCTGATGCGAGTAGCCCCTCCCCTTCCCCTCTTAGGTTCGGTCCGTGGACAGCTTGTTTCGGAGAAAGAAATTGAGGTCCTCGTGCGCCTGCTGTCTCCGAACAGTCATAATCAATGGATTAATAGATGGGTATTGGAAATCGGTATTTGTCACTATCGTTGAACCCGAGTGAATCGGTGGAAAGGACACTGGAAGATTAGTCCCAAAGCCATCTGCTATGGTGCTACGGGTGGCCTGCTGCTGCACCATGGTAAGCATGTTTCGTAGCAACGTGAGGTCGGGTGATCCCCTCCAGGCTATCTGAACTCCCGCAAGCAGAATACGTCTGTAAGGAGACCATATCTCGCGGCCAAAGATCTTCTTGGTCTGTAATGCCAACCGAAAAAAAAAAAAAATATATATATAGTTTATTTTACTAATCAATCTCCTTGTTTGCCATTCCTCTTCCCTCTCTCTGTGAGATTGTGGGCGTTATTTATTTGAATTTTTTTGAAAAAGAATCTTAAGCGACTTCTGTACTGAATTCCTGTTTTATTATATTCTTCTCTACCGTTTTATTCGGTCACAGTTGCACATATTCTTTTTTTACAAAAAAAAAAAAAATAATAAAATAATTATATGTAGGGCTCCATACCATATTTAACTTACTTTGTATACCGTAAATTCAACCCTTTTGTATATGTAATGTGCAACATTACTTAATAAGTTTCTCAGAGTGAGGACCTAAAGTGTAATGACTCCAATCGTTCGGTGATGATAATTTCGCCTCATTATTCTCGGAACCTCACACAAGAAGCCAAACGGATAATGTGTTGACGTTTGACGACGTTCGATAACCACACACATGTACCACTGAAACCATCCTGAGCTCCCCGCGCTGAAGAACTTGGACAATACCATCAAAGGGATTCGTCGAATTAAGCCGATCAGCACGACGTCTCCTTGCCGCATTGTCTTCGGATAATGAGTCAGCAGAAATTGTGCCATCAGCGGTTCTTGTTAAATTAATTACAGCTCATTAGTTCTGAGCCATATTTATAGATATCAGAATGTGAAGAATATAAGCGTAACATTATTACCTTCAGCATTGCAATAACATTTTATATAATTATAACTACAAATTTATAAAAAAAAATGAAACAATAAATTAGTTCAATGGTGAATAAGAACTTTTATGTTGCCGATTCCAGGTGACTGATATGACACCTACTACTGTTACTTAAATTTCTTTTTCAGTAATTGAGAGAGTTCAAACATAAAAAGGTCCAGGATAGATTTTACTGAATTCTGTCCACTTCTTTCGCATAGAAGTGTGTTTTTCCTCGACTATTTTTTATTATTTTATTGTAATTCCTTAACATTCCATAGGGTTATTTTCTCAAATCTCGAATTCATGAATTCTGTCAATTTCGTTGTAAATCCATTTTATGAAGGATGCAAAGTTTGTTTATTTTTAATCGCATTATCTATAATCGTAATTTACGTATACATATATATATTGTGTATATTTTTTTATACATATATATATATATATATATATATATATATATATATATATATATATATATATATATATATATTTTTACTTTAAATTGATTTTTGCTAAGAGATAATAAAAAATAGTTCGTTGTTGTTTCGATTTCCTTCTTAAACTTCAAATTAATAAGGGTTCATGTTCCAGAGATTTTTGTACGTTGAAAGGCTGTAATAAATTTTAAGTACGTACAGGCCTTCTTTTCAAGTAACTTGAAAAAAATTCGCTCATATTTTTATATTTCTCATTAAATAAGTTTTATTATGACGGATGAAAAATGTCGATTTCATTAACACTGATAATAAACAAAAAAATTGTTTAATGGATTTTTGGTCCATCCATTCCATAATTAAAAACATACCCCTATGTTTTCACTATATGCGTATTTAATACGAATATATAAATTTTGAAATGTGGAACTCTGAGCTTAATATTTTTTCTTCATATATATTTGATATTAATTTTTATTTTATTTATTTTAGTTTATGTCTGCAAAGAGATGCGGAGTACCAGATATTGTGAAAGACTCGGTGGAATATTCACCTACGAACGAAGAATTACCGTCTAAATTCAATGATACTGATGAATACCACCACGAGCAACATCAACATCAACATCATCATCACCATCATCACCCTCACCACCACAGCCGTAGAAAGAGGTACATCCTTATGAATAGAGGGTGGAAAAAGAGGCACATAACATATCAGTGAGTATTCAGTCTGGTTAATTATTTTTCAGCATTACTATTTAAGAATTGATAGTAAAAAAAATCTTATATGGATTAGCTCTTCTAATTTTCACGTTGAAAAATGTTTTACGTAATCAGTAACTATTTAGGATTTAATATTGAGGACTAATATTTTTTAATAATGGTAATAACAGTAACCATAATACTTCTAATGATATAATTCTTATATTTATTCTTGAAACGTGCTCCAAAAATAAATATAAGTTTTTAAATATATATATATATATATATATATATATATATAATATATAATTATGAAATCGCATGTTTCACGTTAAAAATATAAATTATCACATTATATATGGACAAATAGGCGTCACTATAGTCGTTTCGGCATTTCAATGGCTATCCTTAGTTTTCAACTCCCCACTGATACGAATCAAAATAGAGATATCCACCACAAACCACGAGCTCAGACAAAATCGCAGCAACCCTGGGAGATACAGGACTCAGGGCTTAAACTCACCTAATCTTGATAAATGGAACCCCTCATGTTCAGCACTAGACTAATTAGCGAAGCAACTTATAAACCTCCGGATTTTCTATTTCCCAGTTAAGGGACTTAGCTCGGGGGGAAATGTATCAGTTGTAACCGCTTGGAGGGTGCGGGACCAGAGATGGATTTACAACATGGCGTATATGGTAGCACAACAATTGGAATTTTTTGTTCTTTACAATAATTTTTATCTGTGGTTAAAAAAAAAATAAAAAAATTAAATTTATTTTTAATAAGTTAACAATTGATGTCTACAAAAAAGTGTGTATCTCTTACTCTACTTACAAGGAAAGGTTCTGAATGGCGTCACCGATGTCAATGAAACTTTGTTTTATGATACTAGATCTTGGCCTTAAGTGCAAAAAGAAAGGAGGCTCTTATAGCTGAAAATAAAACACAATATTATACAAAAGGTTAGCCGAAAATTCGGTAAAACTAATTTTTAAAAATTCTTTTTCTATGAGTTATATATATTGTATTTCATTTAAAACTATTTATAAATTATAATAATAATAAACATTTCAGAAAAAAAAAATCCGCCTAACTCCTGAAATCTGCATAGAATTCAAGTTAGGTTTACTCAAGATAAATTGAATAATTTTATCAAATACCTTTTTTTTTTTTTTTTTTTTTTTTTTTTTTTTTTTTTTTTTTTTTTTTTTTTTTTTTTTTTTTTTTTTTTTTTATTGAAAAATATTACAATCTGTCTCCAGGACATTTATAATAGTGTTAACAGATCACATTCACACTGTATGTACAGTAAATAAAATAAATTATACAGAAAAATAACATATATACAATAAATAAGAATAAAATAACCTAAAAATAAATAAATAAAAAGAACACATACATACCTATATACAATATTAGGTATACAAATGCCTTTAAATATTAATACCTATTACTATGACACCAATAAAATTAATAAAACAGACAGAAAATAAAAGCGATCTTCACCTCCTCAGCTTCATTTATCATTCAATTTTAAAGGATAAACATAAAAAAAAAAATTATAACATTTTCTAAAAGAATAATCTATTTAATTTGTGTTTAATTGTTACATATCTATGTTTATAACAATAACACAAATAATAGTAATAAACGTTTAGTTTTGCTTTTTCTTCCTCCATTTCATTTTAGGAGTAAAAACTTACATCTACGTTAAATACTCTTCAATTTATTTTCTCTATAGGTAATCATTCCCCATTCATTAAATTTCAAATACATTTGTACTTAATATAAATATATTAATTATTTAAACATTTTTTTTACTGAATTTTCAGTCTGGCTAACTGGTCGGAAAAGCTAACTAGAGGAGATGTTCTGGAAATAATAAAAAAATCCCTCGCAAATTGGGCAAAGTACGGGGACCTGCGCTTCACTGAAGTATCAAGCCCCGATGAAGCGGACATCGTCTTCGGTTTCTACAGGAGACAACATGGCGATGGGTAATAATTATATATTTAATACAGAATACTTATAATTACATATTTAATACACAATACTTATAATTACATATTTAATATTCACTACTTATAATTACATATTTAATATGCAATATTTATAATTACATAATTACAATAATAGCTGCTTTCTGTATTGTATTTTTAATTGAATCTTGAATATAATTAATCTCAGTATTGAGATATTGAATACTACAGACATTAATGTCTATGTTTTAATTTAGTTAATATTTCATATTCATTACTGCACCCTCAGTACAGTTATATAGTAAATAACTATATAACTCATGTACATTTTTACTTTTACAATAAATCCATTTTTTTGGTGTATACAATTCTATATCTAAGTCTTTTTAGACAAATATGATCCTTTTTTTCAACCGATTATTAAGAATCGCCATATATGATAACAGCAAAAATATCCAATTTATTTTCTTGTTAGTTACAAATTATTAATCACAATTACAAATTCAAATTATTGTAACGTGCAAAAACTATTATTTTTAATAAAATAACAATAAATAATAAATAACAAAGAAAAAATAAAGATACATAAAATAAATAATAAAGAAAAAAGAACAACAATAGGCATGGTCATGAAATGTGTGTAATTACTTAATTATCAATCGAAAAATATAAATCATTCATTATTTAAAATACAACTCTCTAAATCATTTTTTTTGTTTACTTTTGGATAGGTAATAAGAATAAAATTAATCATGAGTATATAAATCATTATAATGGTACAAAATTTTAAAATAATAGTAATGAAATAAAAAGAATTTATATTGTTAAATTAAGATTTATTTCAATTTCAATTTATTTAATTAATAGTACAAAAAATAATCTTTCGTTGTTAAAAAAGATAAAAAAATATCAAAATACAAATCGACGGTTGGCATTGAAAGCCATTTGGTAAATTTGACAAGAAAAATGAATATTCATGCAACAAATAAATGCTTATAGTTTTACCTACACAGTACAATCCGAGAATGCAGTTACGTTATTTAAAGAGACTCATGAACTGAAGAAGTTTTTATTATCTATCATCGATGTACGACAGATGATGATTGAGACCAAGACGTAGGTGAGAATATCGTAGACTAAGTGACCTAACTAATTTAGGTATTGATGGTGTTGGATGGAGAAAGCAAGGTAGCAATTGGTTCCAATTACATATATATATATATTAAGTTGGGAGCAAATATAACTAATAACATACAGGTCTGTGAATTAAAGTAATGTTTTAAACTCTGGATATTATTCGGTACAAGCCGATGCGAGCCGGAAGAATGGTTATGGTTTGTAGATAATAGACTATCTAAATTACCTTATGATTTATGACGAAACATAGTTTTTATTACATGGGTTATTTATAAGATGGATGCGTGACTGGATACACTATGCAAGATGAATTTATCTAGTCATGATATATGCTCACTTATTGGGTATTAGTGTACTGTAATAGATAATGTTTTTCAAGATTAATGTCCGTCAAGATTTTTGTAGTATTTTCAGCAGCAAGATTCAGGAACGTTTCATTTATTTTATTATAATATTTTTGTATCTCACTAGGAATTGTATGTACTAAGATGACATCTCGGTTTTTAGACTCGAGGATCGCTAATTGGTCCAACCGCATTAATAAATTTGTCTAAAAACTACTAGGAAATTGAAAAAAAAAAATGTATCTGTTATCTGCATTCGATTTCGAGGACGTTTTTGTTTCTTGAGAACTGGTAACAGAAGAGACAGAAGAAAAAAAAAATGGTCCTATTAGGAGAAATAAAACACATCCCTACTGTGCTTCTGACTACTGACGTACTGACTACTTAATGTCTAGAAATATATATATATATTTTTTTTTTCTTGAATAATTATAAAAGTTTATTAATTAAAAAAAAACAATAATTTTTTATTTTAGATCTGCTTTCGACGGCCCAGGGAATGTCCTAGCTCATGCCTTCGCGCCAAGCAGTTACGATTACGGTCAAAAGGGTCTGGAAGGTGACGTTCACTTTGATGCAGAAGAACCCTGGGTTATCGATGCGGGATCAGAGTATAGAGGTGAGGGTAAATATAATAAATTGTTCTAAATGGTTTCAATATGATTTAATTAATTTTATTTCTTAATTTTTTATTTATTATTAACATCCATTTTTTACAATGGAGACGTTAAATACCCAATAAGTCGCTACGCTTAGAATCACATGGCAGTTCGCTACGGATCTGTGAGATTCACCTCACCAAATAAATTTATTGTATTTCTCATTTTACTGAAAAGAAAAGATAAAAGAAGAGTTTTTTATATATTTGTTGAGTAAAACACAGATATATATTTTAAAAAAACATTAAATAAAAACACAAAAATCACTGAATACTCGGAAACATTACAATAGGATTAATTTAGATTAAAGATAATTAATACAAACATCATCACAATATGAACATTAGCCTCACGAAGGCCTCCAATTTCTCATCGATGGTCACGTCTGCTTCAATTGAATACGATGATTGACGGCTTATGACAAATTTGTCTCGGACAGGTCGGTTAATTTCTTTAAGTTGTTGACGTTTTCCTCGGTCATCATATCTTAGGTATCGAAGTGACGATCCAAAACTTCGTATACTCATAGTGAGACGAAATATCTCGATTTCAAAGATACTTGAATCCCTCAAATCATCCAGATTTTTTTTCTAGACTTTATGAATTCCTGCAATATATAACAGTGCAATAAAAGCTTTTACCTCAATTAAATCAGTTTCCATTACATACCTTTCTCGTGAATAATTCCCATGTAGGCCGTCAATGCTCAAGTTTTAGTACAAAAATTGGATGCAACACAGGTCATCCCATTTTACATTACTGGATTGTAAGATTTCAAGAAAATACGTATAGGCAGCTTCCTCTCTAAGCAAGTGGTATTAAAACACATCTAATAGACCTTTCGGTGGATCTGTCAGATCCGTTGTGACCTTCGGAGTGTTAAATAAAAAAACTGACGAGAAAGATATTACATTTTTGTTCTGTGCCAAAATTTGAAAATCAGTAAATAACAAGTTAGATCCAGGTTTCTAGAATATCTTTGTTTCGACCTTGTAGGAGTTGTCGAATGGAATGGGTTACTTGCATGGAAAAAAAATTTTAGCGTGAAAATAAATTTGAGATTAGGGATGCCCATTTTCTCTTAAGCCAATCGCGTACACTACCCTTCCTCCCCCTCTAACACACTCTCAATCTATTGTCCTCCTCTTCTTAAAATTGGCGCAAGGAAAAATATAAATATAATAATTTATATAATATGTTTATTTAGAATTGCACTTGATGTGTTACATTTCATATTTGTCCATTTTCCTTGTTTGGAAGTTTTTCCAAATTCATAACCGCGTAAAAATTTATTCTCCTCAAAAATTCACGACCCCTTAAGATTTGCCCCCTCAAAAGTTTATATCCCCGTTTAAATACGCTGCCTCATCAAAAATTTTAAAGATGCAACCTGCTCCAAGAATCCCTCTATTGGATAGCCCTGATTTTCGCCAACTACAATCCACTTCAAGGCACCGATTCAATCAAAAATACGCTCGTGGACCGAGCATACCACAGGGAAGGTACATTTTACATCAGTAGCTAAATGAATACAAATTTGAAAAGATGATATAAATATGGACATCACACTTCATTAACAATGTGTGTTTGTTGCGTCCCTGCCTGAAAAACAAATTGTGCAGTCTTATTATAAAGCATCAGAAATTCATTTTAGTCACAAATATTAAAATTTAATCATAAACATAAAATTATATATATATATATATATATGTACCTTTGTAATTTGTCATTTTTGGCCGTGGATCCTGCGATACAGTAATTAAAACCTTATTATCACCATCTCATGTTGGCACGGAATTTTTGGATCAAACTCTCCTAATTTTCTGGTCGATATGGTTTTTTTTCTTGAGGAGAAATCCATTTAAACCTAAACCGCCGACTGTAATTTTTCCACTCTAATGACCAGCTTTAATTATACTTTGTACCATTTCAAATGATTCAGCTTCAGTCATTTTAATGACTTCATCGCATGCTCCAGCCATCATCAAATAGTGACCACGCTACTTAGAAGTGCACGTTAGGCAAAATGGTGGGGCGTCGTGGAGTTGTATCCAGTATCGCTCTCCCAGAGTTCAGCAGTCTAAGCATTAATTTTATTAATTTTTCCGAATGTTTGTAAACAATATTCAAAAAAGGCTTAATGTATATATTAATATGATTGACAAAAAAATGAATTTTTACGACATATTTTTTCAATTATTACATCATTTTAAGTAAGTAATTTATAATACACAGTCATTTCTCAACAAAAACATCCAGATTCAATGTTCTTATATATGGTATCTTAAAGGAATATATAAGCCCCTGTACTTTAAAATTTTTTATTCTACTAATGGCGTTTGGAGCTGATCTAAGCACGTTTCTTATAGAGGGAATATTTAACTTATGGAAAGAAATAAGGGAAGAAATATTTATGAAGTATACACAGACCAAGTGGTATGATAAATTAAGATCAAAGGCCAACTCCATTATGCCAAAATAAATCGAAAGTTAATCTTGCTATCTCAAAATCGGTAACATTTCCAAAAAAATAGGCATAATTTTATAAACACAGGGGGAAAATGATATATAGTTATGAAATGATTAACAACACAATATGTTTGATTGTATTAAATAATAAATTAACTAGAGCTAATAATTTTATTTTTCTAGGAATAATCAATAAAAATAATTATGTTTTTTAAGATTTAAATAAAATCCCATTTTTATAAAATTAATGATTATTTGAAATATAACAAATTTTTATTTAATTCGAATTGGAGAAAAATTTGCTGAACTGTGAATTATATCTCTTTACCTCAATAGCACAGATAAAATTTGTTTGAAAGTTAATTGATTGGCCACAATAACGCAAAACAGGTACTCTTGAGCACTAAGATTTCCAGATTTCGTACACTTAACTATATTAAAAAAAAAAAAAATCAGTTCTACTCTTTTACCTTTAGAGTCCACAAATCATAAAAAAATGATTTAGGTGGTAATGCTATGAAGCAATTTGTTCAGAATTAATTATGTTTAATGTTGCCTAAATGCGAGACCAAAACGAGTCCTGGTCTTGGGCACTCAGTCTTGTTCTTGCGGAGGAGTCTCGCAAGAGTCTTGCAGTTACCTATTACCTATTACTAAAGAGATATTACTGTAATTTTCCAGATAGTGGAAACCTAAATAAGATAGAGAAAAATTTAAACAGTTTAATGCAAAAGTATATTGGTTATACCAATTCTTTATTGTTTTAAAATCAAATGTGTATAGGTGATATGCTTGATATAAAATACATCGTAAGGAATATTTCAAATCTCATAAAAAATTAATTCAACTAATAATTATTTTTTATTTTTTTTGAAGGTGGATAGAAAATAGTTTACATTAATTTTAAACAACATGTTTAAAAATTGTTATGTTGTATAATTATTATTATTATTATTTTTTAATAGAATAAGGACTATGCATGTAACTGACTTTATAAATTATTATATATTTTATAATGGTATATTTTAAAGGAAAAATGATATGATTTTTTTTTTCTTTAAAACGCCTCTGCCGTTGGCTATTAAGCCATTCGGCTAGCTGTAAAAAAGTAACATTGTAAAAATTAATTTTTTCTTTTAGTAAAAAATCTCTTAACAGGTAACTTTGTTTCCTAGGAGTGGACTTGATGGCTACCGCCGTTCACGAACTCGGGCACTCCTTGGGATTCGCTCATTCTCCACACACGGACTCGGTCATGTACCCTAACTACATAAGAGGAAAACACGAACTAGGATACGATGACATCTTGGCCATGTACGAGCTCTACGGTGAGTACCACTTTTGTCTTCCACACTAATTGATCAAAACTTTCCGACAAGACTTTGTATTCTGACTTGAGGTTGAGATAGTGGGGGTAGAAATGGCAATGCGGCGAGAGTGGTAGAACAAGTTATGGTCACTAAACTGGTCCAGGAAAGTTGACACTGGTTCTTCTAAGGCAGTGTTCAACATTCTTCGAGTTTTAGCCATAATATCGGACGAGTATCCAAAAGGAAACAGAAGGATATGTCCTCTTAAATTTGACATCAGAAGTAGGTTCATGTTTGAATTTTCCTTAAAAAAATATTAATAAATTTGAAACAGTGCATTATCTTATGAGGTATACCGGGATGAAGTGGATCCAAATTCCATCTTGTTTATTATTACTTCCTCAAAACGGATACCAGAATAGCTTTGTATTCATGTGAAAGGTAATAAGAAAGAAAGATACTGAAGAGCAGAATAAAGATAAAAAAGAACAGTGAGCTTTGTGAATATTGAAGGCTTAGAAACATCGATGAAGGAACGGAGACTAAAATTCTTTGGACATATGAAAAGAATGGATTAAGTTTAAACAAACTAATATTAAATCGAGTGATGAGACTGAAGAGATATATTGGGTTTGCAAATAAGTCATTTTGGTTTTTCTGTTTATTTTTATGTCGCTTATCTGATAAATTAATCCCTAATGTGGATTGTTTATCCTTTTTGTAATATGTCAACAACTACATCTGTTAACTCTTGTTGAAACTATCATAGTATTGTGTTTGCTATTGCACTGTGAATATGAAAGAAAATATCATTTATTATCGGCATATTTTGTTGTATTATTTTAAAGAAGGTAAGCGTGCTGCAGAACCTCATATAAAATTTTGCAGTGTTTATGGGGATGATGCCTTAACTGATGACTGAGGCCATTGTTGATCGAAATTTCACCCAATCAGTGCGAGAGATTGCTATGACTCTAAGTGTGTCGCACACAAGTGTAGAAAACCATTTGCACAAACTCAGCTATGTTTCCGGGCTTAATGTTTGGGTCCCTCACATGATTTTTTTTCGAAAATCACAAAAAATGTTATAACTTCAATACGACTTCAGCTATCAACAAGAAATTTAGGGCCACACAAACTACACCAAATAACATCTGTAGAGAACCTTTTCTGAAGAGAAAAAATAAAAACCTATAAGGAGTTATTGTTTATCTATTCCTTATGTAGACATTAAAGCAAACAATGCATATGGCTTTGAAGAGCAATAATTCAGCTTTCCAACGGATATTGTAACATCGAATTTGAAGAACATCCTGAAGAGTTATGAATGATCGGAATGGTGTTGTGTTCTACCAAGACATCGCTAGGCCCCACAACTCATTGGTTACTCGCAATACATTATTGATCCTTGGATGGGACCTTTTACCCCACCTTTTTATAAAGTTCCATAAAGTCCTTTTTGACGAAACGTTAAAGTGGAATTATAATAAGAAATATCCCTACCACCCTTATCAATCCTTTTAGCCTGTTTTAGTTCGCTACCAATTTTCATTTAAAGCATATGATTTTTCTTTAAATTGTTAATGATTTGGTTATTTATTGTATACGTTCTGGCGAGTTTAGATGATATAAAAATAAATAATCTTTTGGGGTTATCTCCTACGTTCCAGAGTGAAGAAGACGTACACCATTTAGTCCAAGAAGAAGGGATAGTTCATAAAAAAAAATATTTAAAAAATCTAAGGTGTGTACTTTAGACCACACGATAGAAGTGAAACATCAAAATGGCGAGATTAATAATATAAATAATAGCACATTATAAATAGGGTGAAATGCAGAACATTTCCTTCGCTTACAGTATTCTGGTCCGATTTTTAGTTTCTGGGATATTTTAATCCAAATCATCCATAAAACTCGTTATCATTTGCTTTTTGACACTATTTCTTCCATTCCGCCTCTCTAACACGGCGTCGCGGTAAGATAAAATCTTGAATAATAGGCCATTACAAAGAGGATGAAATAAATGTTGAACATTTCCCTCGATTATAGTACGTAGGTCCGATTTTTAGTTTCTGAGGTATTTAATCCATATCATCAATAAAACTCGTTATGATTTGGTATTCGATACTATTTTTTTTCCTTTTCGCTTGTTTAACAAGCCGTCGAGTTAAGGTAGAATTTTGAATAATGGCTTATTAAAAAGAGGGTGAAATGATGGAAATTTTCCTTGCATGCAATATGCAGGTTCGATTTTTAGTTTTTGAGATATTTTAATCCATATGAAAAACACTCTAATTAATTGACTCCAGCCGAGCGTTAATCGACTTTACCCGAGCGTTACACATCAGGAATATGATGGCTTAATCTTATTCACTCTCCACAAAAAAGTACACAACGTGCCTAGTTTTCACTTTAGAAATATTTAACAACACCTCACTTATTCCTGTTGAACAAATCCGTTACCTAGGACTCCATCTGGACAAACGTCTAACTTGGAATCCTCATACCAGACTGAAACGACAAGAAACAACACGACGTTTCCGACTACTTCAACACTTACTGGACAAACGCTCTAACCTTCCAATCAATTATAAAAGACTGATTTACATGACTATAATAAGGCCTATTTGGACTTACGGAGTTGAGCTATGGGGCTCCACCAAACCTTCAAATTCCTCTCGCATACAATCCTTACAATCCAAAATCCTTCGTAAAATCCTCAATGCTCCTTACTTTGTTACAAATAAAATTATCCATAATGACCTTAATGTTCCTTATGTATCAGATTTGGCCCAATCCAGATATCTGTCCTTCCATAATAAACTTCATAACCATCCCAACCCTCTTGTCTCTAACCTTGCTTCCTATTCGATTCCTGATAACCCTCCGAGGCGTCTGAAAAGAAGATGGCCACGTGATCTTCTAATATAGACATATTATTAGAGTGCTACCAATGGGTAGTTTCTCAACATGTGTTCCATGTCTTTATACTAATGTGCGAATTTACCAGATGTATTTTTTGTATACAGTTGTAAATATCATATAAATAAATAATAAAATAAAATAAACTTTAGAAATGAGAAGAATATGGACAAAAAATAAAATAGAAATGGTATAAGCGTGATCCATGTTGGCCTTTGTCGTGATAAACAAATAAATTACCTATATAAATATATATACAGTCATAATTTACTAGTAAATAAAGTATAAGAACCATTACACTACTATCATAAAACTTGTCGGAATGTCCAAGTTGACTTCTTCTTTAAAAGATAACTCTTGAGACTTTTTAAATATATTTAACTCTCGAGAGCTGATTTCTGGTAGTTCAAGGATACATAAAAGTGAAGTAAAAAGAAGCTATAAAAGTAAACTACTACCAACACTCATAAGAAATTAAAAAAAAAAATACGTAAGCAAACATGTTTGGAAAACAGCGTTTACAAATGCATGAAGTGCTTATTAAAGTAACAAGATATCCTACCAAATATACAAGAAATTAATTATTTCTCAGTTACAGTTAGTTTCCTTATTTTGTCAGTTCTCTATTCCTACCGCAAAAAGCGCTGATACAATTTCGAATGTAAGACTCTCCCGTCAACATATTATTATTGCACCTAACAAATATTTGAAAGCAAGATTATTATTTTTAGACCTCATGTAATTACTGTTACCTATTTCCATTCCTTAAAATGCCATCAGGCAGCAGAAGGACCAAACAAGAAGAAATATATTTGTATATTAGTATACTTATATATTGATATTGTTTAAATAATGTTAAAATAAAGGAAGATCAGGAAATAAGTTATTTTTATGTTAACACTTTTTTTTTTAATTTAATTTTATTTATTCAGAAATATTACAATCTGTCACAATTAAGGACATTTATAATAGTGTTCAGATAGCACATTTACACTTTATTTACAATAAATAATGCAGAAACTAATAATAATAAAAGTAAATGTATATAAACAAAAGAACTAAACTAATCAAAACTAAAACCTCAAACCTAAAAGGAGAGTCCTGCCTCTCCTTCCACGAGTGGGGCGAAAGGAAGGAATCTAGGAGATCCCAGCGCCTCGCACTCCGCCGCAATTAACACTATTAAATTGATTTTTAGTGTTCATGTTGTAAACCTGTATCTCCGATATATTTATGCCGAAAATATGCGTATTATAACAAAGGAACTAAAATAACTTCTTTAATTTTCAATTATATTTTCATTGTGATCAGAGTTAAAAATAACCCAAATTTAATTTTTGACACATCAAATACTTCACCCAAAATATAACCTGAAATTCAAACAATAGACCCTTGTATATGTAACATTCTTTGGAGAAATCGTCTAATGTATTTGACGTTTTTTCGATTACAATAATTAGTAAGCACCAGTTTTGTGCTTAACGTAAATGAATAATTGAGATGGTAAATGAACTTTTTTTTTTTTTCCAACATACTGTATCAAATGCTGTTTTGAAATCAACAACCAGTCTGTAAAGTGGGATTTGTCTTCTATGACAGCCAACTTTTACTTCTTGTACAAAATGATTTATCTCCTCGAATGTTCTTTTGGTTTTCTTAAAATCCGTTTGTAATGTTAATAAAATTATTTTTTTGACCGAATGCCTTTATTTTTCATATTGCCACCGTTTCCAATAACTTGAAGAAGGAGTTTATCAGTGCTGTTGGCCAGAAGTTTGCTGATTTGTCATAACAGTAAATAATGAACAAGCCATTAAAAGATATTCGAGATAAATTATCTTTTTTTAGAATAAGGTTAGTAACTTACTGATAATATCAACTTCCCCTCAGTTTTGGGAAGTAAAACAACATTATACAAGTTCAATAATGATGAGCCATATAATTAAAAAAAAAAGAGGCTGAATATGAGATGGATTAAGATCCTTAGATGAAGAAACTCTAACAGTTTTATCCCAGGTTTCCTTGGATTCGTACATCTTCTTCTATCTCAATTTACATTGATTTTTACTGCAGTTGTCAGTTGACATAAATTTGTTAATAAAGTATGTAAAATAAAATAAATAAATATAAAAATAAAGTATATGATCGAAAATTATAATTTAAATAAGATAATTTCCTCCTTCTAGAGAGAGAAACACTTTATTTTCAGATAAAAGTGCTCCCCAAATATATTGGGTTGGTAGACGTACGGCATACTAGTTAATCCTTAGACAATCAATAGCAATTGTATATAAATATACATAAATAGTTAAATATAACATTTATGAGTATAATAAATGTATATATATATATATATATATATATATATATATATATATATATATATATATATATATTAAATTTCTCTTTCTCTCTCTTCTCTCTTTCTACTATTATTAAAATGTTAAAAATTATACAACAGAAACAATAACAAAAACAAGTGTATAAACACCAAAAAATAAATAAAATTTAATATAAACAAAATCGATCTATTGACTTTATTTTTGCACAAGGTTCTAAGTAAATTCTGCATTTTTATTAAGAATACATTAATTAATTTTTTTTTTCATCTACCTGATTTTTCTTTGTTTACTTTCAAATGTCAACTTATTTCCAAAAGTTTCTTCCTGTTCCAATTATTTATGCCATATATATCTAGAATTTCTTAGGAATCTGACTTTTATAAATATGAGAAAAATAAAGCTATTGTTTTGACGAAAACTTATGGAAGTAGTCGCAATAGTTATTATTAATTTTCCGTTTTTTGTATAAAATATATGTGATGCTGTAAAAAGTATATTAAAATGTTATAATAAAATTTTCGGAAAGTGTGATATAAAACAAAAACAGAAATAATGAATAATTTAATTTTTTTAAAGAATAATCGAGAATTATAGAAATTTCAGTAAATAAACTTTTGTGGAATTTATACGTATTTTATATTTATAAATCCGGAAAATTTTATGTTTAATTGCTTATTATTGTAACTTAGATCTCTCCATATATGCGTTTCTTTTGAGGCTTTCATTGTTGTCCGTGGTACAGACTCCTTTGCTCAAATTAATAACATTCGCCGAAAACTGCGTGAAATGTTTCATCTTATCGGGACCAAAAACTTTTTTATCAACGAAAATTCTCAGAATGAATAATTTAACTTGAGTTGTAACATAATTTGATACAAGGGACGGCTTACAAAAGTATTGGGTCGTTTGGCCTATATAACCTCGTTATTTTGAGATGTGGTCACGCCAAACTGTCTAATATTTCTTTAGGCCACCTTTTTTTCTTGATTTTGTGGTCAAATTATCTTACAATTCTAGTGAAAAGCAAATGGGTATTCATGAGCTTTAGTACCTCATTAAATAGACAAAGTTTACCGATCTTCAGATTAAAAACCACCCATTTCCGAGAGTTTTCGTAAATAAAATAGTTGTATGTTACGATAAGTTGAAGGTATTCACGAATTTTATGCGGATATTAATAATTTGATAAAAAGGGAAGTACCGTCGACTATTAAATAATATTAAAAATAATGCAATGACTGGTACTGTTCCTAAACATTTCGATAATGAATAGGATAAATAAGCTTAATTTATGTGATTATGTTTTCGATTTATAAAAGTATAGAAGATATTAAATTGGGTCATTAAATCATTATGTTTAATTTTCAGTCAAAGCGAAATTGAGAGATGATAGCGGAGGTGCTAAATATATTCCACCCAAACCAACCCGACCGCCTCTCACAAGACGAACCACGATAACCTCCTCAACAACAACCAGGTACGTGGAGACGACTACCGAAAAGAAGCATCTGCAGGGGTCCATCCATGTACCTAAAACTCCCGATGGATGCAAGGGCGCCTTCGACACCGTAGCTTTCATTAGGGGAGAGCTTTTCATCACCAAGAACAAGGTTGGTATAGTTTGACTTCTGATTCTCCCAAGAAACATTATAAAGGTATTCCTGTAAATTTAATTTAATGTCGCTTATTGCTGTTAAACTGTCAATATGTCTATGATTGAGGCTCAGCTGGAAAAAGGCGTTTGTCCGAAAACCGTGGGTTGATAGGAATCTAAGTTGTGAAGTTTTGTAGATAATTTAACAGTATATCGAATCAGGTTTCATTTGTTTTGGTGTTGATGTCCGGTAAATTGTACCACACGGCAAAAACACCTATGATTTAATATTGAAAGTTAGTTCATCGTCAAACCACTATCAAAGGAGAAAAAATGTTTTACTTTTTTCCATGGTGCATACGAAATAAAAAAAAAAACGACAAAAAACATACTAAAAAGTTTAATAAAAAAACCTGCAGATTATTATAATTTATTTAAAATAGATTACCCTAATAAGTAGTAAACTATTTTTTTTTTAAGGTTAGGTATAGTTATTATAAAATACTTAATATATTTCCTTAACTTTTATAAATGGCCAAGATATAAAAGTGTGAAGGTTAGAGGCCACGAGATTAAAAATGTGGATTGCAAAGCCGAATTCTTAAGATTGTCCTGGGTTGAAGATAGGTTTCCCATTTTTCAGTTAAAAACAAGCAAAAGCAAAAAAAAATCTAAAATATACCACTACGGAAACTTTCTGAGGATGAAGGGTGTTTAAAATTTAAACAGTTCTAGCTACTGCAAACGTTATTCTCTAATTTTAATATGTACTTCTTTAAGCACCATGTATATCAATGGTTCTAACAATACAGTATTCGAAGAAGGGACTTATGTTTGTGAAAGCTTTTTTTATTGCTAAACATTAATGAATGGATAATGCTTCCTTGTTGTAAACAAATTTCATAATACCGTTGAAAACCTAATTACCTTTTCATGAATATTGAAAACTAACATATGAAGTCGTAAAAGATTATGTTTTAGTTAGTGGAAAATAAATGATTTATGAATTTTAAATTTATTTTTAGACTAACATAACAAAACTAAACAATAAACAAGCTTTTTGTATTTTATAGTCATTGTCACACTTCTATATTTATAGTTAAAAAAAGTTTATTTCAAATTAAGCCTCCAGATTGTTTCTGACTATTCATATATTTGACGCCAAAGAAAAAAAAAATGACACAGAATTTCAATAACTTTATTTTTTTAAAAAACGATTCAAGTGTAATGTCGATTTTTCAAAACTAGATTAAACGAAATTGCATAAAAGAAAGAAAACAAAAAAGTACGGTTCACAAACATCAGAGATTGAATAGCCGTTCGATAAAAACAAATTAAACGTATGTGAACAGGTTTTTCGTTGGTGCCGTGAAAGTTTGTGACATACATGATTATTTATTGGAGTTGGGTCTTTAACGTCCGAGGGTCCAGTTCTAATATGTGTCCCATGGATTTTTTTTTTTTTTTGCCTCCTGCTCGGCCATTGGAAAATCATTATTTACTGATAAAACAGCAGGAGAGCATTTTTCATCTTTATGGAGCTTTATTAGTGCTCTACCAACTAATCGCTAAAAGCTTTCCAGCAAATTGACGCGACCTAACAACATTAGCCAATGGATCGCAAGCGCCAGTTCATCTTGTCTTCCAGTCCTCTTAAGGTAGCATTCATGAGAGGAGGAATTTTTTTTAAGTTTATGGAGCTCTGTGGCATTAAGTGTATAGTCCGTAGTACAGACCCCTTTTTATCGAATTATTAACATCCCCCTGAAAATTCGTAAATAGTTTAATCTCATCGTGACATACAACTATATTATTTAAGAAAACTCTTGGAATTGGGGTGTTTTCAATCTGGAGGGGGGCAAACTTTGTCTATTTAATTAGCTACTAAAAACTCGTAAATACCAATTTGCTTTCTAATTGGATTATAAGATAGTTTGATCACAAAATCGAGAAAAAAGGTGGCCTACAAAAATATTGGACCGTTTGTCCTATATAACATCGTTATTTTTAAAATTTGAGGGTGTAGGTCACACCAAACGGCTCAACTTTTTTCTCAATTTCGAAATCAAATTATCTTACGATCCAAGTAGAAAGCAAATGATTATTTACGATTTTTTAGTACCTAATTAAATAGACAAAGTTTGCCCTCTCCAGATTGAAAACGCCCCAATTCCAAGAGTTTTCGTAAATAAAACAGTCGTAGGTTACGATGAGATAAAACTATGTCTTGTCCCCACAAAGGGGAAGCCATAATAAAATGTTACCTTTTATTGGATTTAAAATTTATCGGGATGCCACTGGATAATTATTGATGATAATTACCCAGAAATGTTTAATGAAAAATTAGTAAAATAAATTTGGCTCTACAATATTTGGTCCATGATTAATTAATTGGATTTCATTTCTCAAAGGCTGGTTTGTGTTTATCACGCTTCCTGCGATGATAAGTGATTACCACCGTTACCTGTGATTATAATGATATAAATAGGTGGCATTATTAAAATAACTTTTACTTAAAAAACTTATTTTATATCTATATTTAATAAAGTATATATACAAATTATATTTACAAGAACAAAATACATGATTCAATGAATTTAATAATTAACTGTGAAGGCATGATTTCAGATGGAATGTTTGAGAATTATTTTGCCATGAAATATTTTATTACATTAGGATTAGAAATTACAACTCAGCTATTGTGGTATGGCATGTTTCATCGCTGCATCTGCTGATCCTAGGTCCCCTCATCGAGGCCAGATCCAAAAACTTCTCCAAGACGCCCATCTGTGTGATCTATGTCGGGGCAAGGCTTCAGTCCCCAAGCCGGAAGAAAACATAAGACCTATCCTCCAGGCCAGAAATTGACATCTTAATAAGACCTCTTTTTCTCCCTTCTCAGTAGATTTTATAGAAATATTCAGTGTGGAGCAAGAATGGTTCTCATTGGTTGAATTTTATTAGCATAAGGGATGACCACGCCTCCAGGCCGTACGGTTGTTTCCTCTTTCTCGAAGGTCTGTTCCCTCTCTTGCTTAGACAAGCCTTCCGATCCTCTCCAAACATGCCCACTTAAGACCGGTGTCGGTCTTTTGGTGTTTTATTGCCCCTCAGAAAAAGTTGCACTCCCTAGTGGGTCGCCACTCTCCCTCTGGTAACCGGACATCATTATTTAGAATGTATTTATACATTGGCAATAATTAAATATATTCCAAGTGTGGTCCTTACAATACATAGTCCTTACACTATTTACGAAGTTTCAGGCGGATGTTAATAATTCGATAAAAAGGGGTCTCTACCACGGACTAGTACTTGGAGTAATGAGGTTTTGAGATTTTTATTCTTTATTGTTTAATAAGTAATCGCTGTTTTTTTTTTTTTTTTTAAGAAATCATCATTTTTTTTTCATGATATTTCTTCCAGAAAGTGATAAAGAAGTGTAAAATCCACTATATAATAAGAAGTGTAAAATCCACACCAAAATATACTACTTTCGGTTAGTATATTTTAATGAAGAAGTTCTTGCTTTGAAAAGTCTTAAAGCCAAAAAAAAAAAAAAAAAAAAATTAAAACAAATAATGTTTAAGAAAAATTAATTTTTTTTAAAATATTATAAAAGCTATTAGAAATAGAAGTCAATAATAATGGAAAGACTAAACAACCAAGAAATTTAAAAACTCTTAGAAACATCCGTAAAAAGGCATTGTATAGACATTTCAAACAAACTAGAGAAAAAAAATCTATTAAGCATTATTTATTTATTTATAATTGTTATATATTTTATTATTATTGTTTTGTTTTTTTCGCATATTTATAGTTAGCAGTCAAAAGTCCCTTTTTTGGATACCGCATTTTTGTAACTCTTGATATACATTGCTCTTACAAAAGTTTTAAAACTATATTATAATGATATAAAATTTTAATGAGAGAATGTTACGCAATCTTTATCAGAAAGGTTCAGTAGTGGTTTCGTTTAGATTTTCTTTCTCGATTTTTGTGCGTGATTTAGAAAGAAAAACTGGCAAATAGATCTTCATTCCATAGTTAACGAATCGGAGGCAGTGAAGACTTTATAAGTAATGATTTTATTCATAATCTCTGTTACAACTGGCATCTAACATACAGAGTAATATACTATGGATATATGGTTTGACTATATGAATTCACTCCAGGTCTCCTACAGTGAAGAGTGTGACATCAAGAATGTAACTGCATGAGTGATTTGGTCTGAGGAACATTGGGTTAATATGCCCAAGAATAGTAAGGGGGGGGGGGTAGGGAAGTCGGAAGAGGGCGGCAAAGGAAGTTATCGATAGTTAATATTATTAAGATGAGGTATGTGAGAAATTTTGCTAAAATCTGCTATTGTCCCCTAAGTCTTGATAACGGGTCTTCTGTCCGGTCGTTAGTTAGATTCTAGATAACTATTTCTAATCTATCAGAGAGCTTTATATTTTGTTATAGTGACCTGGCTATCTAAGGATGCTTTGTTCTTTTATCCTTTGTGTCATGAGAACCGAACACATTTAACAAACTCAATTATTAAAATCAAAGTTGAAGTAACATTATTATTATTATTTGTTACGGATTAAGTCCATTCCGTAACTCATGACAATGATTAGATCTCGACATAACTATCCAACTCGAGGCCTCTGGGCTTCATACTTTTGTACCTCGGTCATATTAGAAGGTCGATGACAAAAAAAGATGAATAATATATGTATATAACCAAACAGGACGCTTATTTAATCTATACATTAGTTTTCCTTTTGCTACATTTTATATATTTATAGTTTATTCTTGTTCCTCTCTTTGAATAGATGCTTTGGAGGCTGTCCGAGCCGGGGAAGATACAGGAAGGCTACCCTGTCGAGTTCTGGAGGATGTTCGCCCTCCCGAAGAACGTAAAGAGGATCGACGCGATGTACGAGAGGGAGAAGGACTCTGCTATTGTCATATTCTCAGGTAAATAGATGTGAATCCATAGTGAAATTAGATTGTTTAACTATAACAAGTAGTCGTAAAATCATTGAAGAAGAATACGTGAATTATTTTACAGAACACTTGAATAAAAAAATCACAATACTTTTAGAGTGGTTTTCGAAGTCATTCCTCTAATTTCACCTGATCGCTCAGTCAAAAAGGAATACTTTTATGAGACTCAATGAAAAAGGACTCCTTTCAGCCAATTTTATTGCAGTTCATGTTCCTTATTTTTTCCAACATTGGCGGAAAAACACGTCAATGTGTCGAGTAAGGGATGGAGGTAACGGGATCGATTCAAGTTATAACAAACGTTATAGATTTATAGAAGATCCCCAATCAAATGGGATGAAATATGTACTTTTTCATTGAACTTCATAAAAGTATTCCTTTTTTGATGAAACGTTTTAGTGGCGTTAAAGGAATGACTACGCATATCACACTTAGTAGAGAATATGAAACCTTTATGCTTATTTGAATTGAATTTAAACACTTAAACGTTTTAAAAATTAAAGTATTGTACAGAATATTTGTGTTGAAGTGGACTCAATCAAAATTTTATAGGATGTGATTGTGGTAAAAGTATCTAGAGCTTAGTAATTGGCATTTAAGCGGTTGGCTTTGACAAGAGATGAATTCCAAAAAAGTAATTAGTTCGACGGACTGAAACGTAGATGCAAGAGTTTAGCTAGATAACGATTTGAGTTTAGCTAGAGATTTTTCATATTTTAATTCAGTACCCAATCTTTAGGTTTGTTGTGCTACATTATTAATTTTCTGCTGTATCACAAGCGCAAATAATTTTGAAATTTGAATTCTTTCCTTATACTGGTTATCCCCGTAAGTAGAGGTAAATATTTAAAGGGGTTATTTAAATAAAGTTTTTTCCTTACAAACCTCAACTTCATTTTATGTGGATTTCAAGCTTATTAAACGAGGAAGCTTTTGTAAAACTGTGGTTTCTAAAGTACAATTGGAGAATGATTAAAAAAAAAAAAAAAAAAAAAAAATCGGAAATAATTTAAGATTTTTTTTTTACACTACTTAGCTTAATTTAGCCGCTTAAAAGTCCTATTTGAATTTTTTACCAATGACAAACTCTTAAAGAAAATGTTGTCTTATTTACAGTGAAGCAATTGTTAATTACTTAAATTAAATATTTTTTTAGTTAACGCTTCCTATTCAACAAATAACGTGACTTACTTAAAAAAAAAATTTTATTTTCCTACTTTCCTTCTAAAAATCGGCCTATTATTTATGTAAACTTTTTTTTATAGCTTTTAAGTTCTATTATTATTTTTATAAATATTTATCTCTACTTAAGCGGACACGCTGTATAGCATAAATAAATTTAACTACCTTCGATTTAAATAGAGATTGATAGAGACATTGATATTGATAGAGATATAGAGATATTCGATTTAAATAGAGAGATTTCACAAAATTGTAATCACATCTACAAATTTGTACAAAATTTAATCACATCTTGTAATTGTAAATATAGAGGTACCTGTTAAGTTTTTTAAGTTTGAAGGTTCCTCTTCAAATTGTAAATACATCTGTTAATTTTTCTTCTTTTAATCTTAATTTTTCACTATAATGGTTTTAAATCTTTCTTCTTGTAATTTTTAATATTTAAATTGTACTTTTAACTTCTCTTCTTATAGCATTAACTTTATTTTTTAAACCGTATTTTTAGATTTTGTTTCTGAAATCATTAACTTTTTATTTAAATGTCTTTGTTAATTTATCTTTTTCTAATCTTTAATATTTAATTTTAATTGGTTTTGTCAACTTTTCTTCTTGCACTTTTTAATATTTAAACTGTACTCTTTATCTTATCTTCTATTAATATTAATTTTTATTTTTTAAAAAACGTATTTTAACTTTTGTTCTTAAATCATTAACCTTTGTTTTAATTGTCTTTGTTAACTTATCTCCTTTTAATCTTTAACTTTCAATTGCACTATCATATTCACTTGTAACTATTTTTAACTATCTAGACTTTAAATTGTATTTGTTAGCTATAGATTTGTTATGTATGGCTATTTAGTAGTTGATCAAATTGTAATATAGGGCGAAAATGGCCAAGGTGGTTGAAGAGCCCAAAACATTTATAAATAAAACAAATAGAATAGAGATTGAATATTCATTTTTAAATCGTGCAGTTTTTTAAATTTCTAGTGAAGAAACGGCGTTCGATTTGAAACATAAACTCTCTAAAAAATCGTGTCTCATATATTAGAGACCAAAACATATAATAGAAAAATGATTTTTCACATTTTATGAAATCGTAGAGTTGTGGCAGGTCCTTTCCCTTTTCTCATAACAAATAAAATAGCAACAAATATAAACAATATTTCTTAAAATCTTGGTACCTAGTATTTCAAGATTTTAAGGATTCAAGTAACTAATTATGAAGAAAAGATAATTTTACATGTAAGATTAAATTTAAAAAAAAAATTCCCCTTCCATGTGTTTTTTTTTTGAGCTGGTTACGTCCTTATATTATCTGTTGACAATTTAGGAATTTTCTTCAGCAAAAAAAATATTTTGTATGTAAGGATAAGGGTAAGTAATAGTAAAAAAAAAAATATTCAAGTACTATTTTATAGTACGTTCTTATATCTTTTATAAGACTAAGAGACTTCGAAGTGATTTGAAAAAGTTAAGGCTAGCCAAACTCGAATTAGAAAAAAATGAAACAATTTGTTATTAACAGCAATATTTAAGGCATTAGTCGTTCATGAATGTTCATAAAACTAGAGTACTATACGCCATCTCAATAAAGTAGTACCACCAATCACCACTCTATAAAAGTAATACCATATATCATCACTTATTCCACAGTAACTCCATCAGTGTGTGGTTGACAAGTTCATATTTAGCGGTTCAAATAAAAAAAATATATCTCCAGTCAGATTTCGAAGTTTTTTTTTAGGAATTTTTTAACATTCAAATAAGCATACTTGAATAAATAAATAAAATAAAATTGTACATTAATATTGCATATTTTCCAAGCTTATTTTCGGCGAATATAAATATATATATATTTTATTTTTTGTGATACTAAGAGGGTGTCGCAAGATAAACATATAATATGTTTAATGCATAATAAGTTTGTCTTGCGACGCCCCTTCGTTTAACCCCTGAACTTTGAAGAAAAACATCGACAAAAATGAAAATAATTATTCATTTTTACTATTTCTTTTTTAACTGATCACCCCAAACATTCTTCTTTTTGAATATATTCATGGTCCAAAATAATAGTTTGTGTCGCTTACGTTGTAATTGTAAAGAAATGTGAATCTCAGGAACGTCACGGTCCACTAATAAAACTAGATTTTTTATACACCCATAACACTCTAAAAACTTGAGTTTGATATGTATAAAAAAAGTCACATTTTTATTAAAATGTGAAATTATTAAAAAAATTTACAAACAATTTTAACTCGGCTTAGAATTGGACATGCAGCCTTTACCCATGGCTACCTAATGAGAGGCCTGGAACCACCATTTTGTAAAACATACAACACATCACTTACACTGAAACACATTGTAACAACTTGCAGACTATACTCTGACACCAGAACAAAACATAATACACCTTCCAACATATCTGAAGCACTTTCAGATGACGAAGAAAAGGTACCAAAAGTATTTGAATTTATAAAAGACATTAAATTTGTACACCTAATTTGATTACATCTAAAGCCGCTAATGACCCGATCGGGTAGATGCGGAATGTAACAATAAATAAATAAATAAAAAAAGTCACATATTCTGTAAGACTCTAGACTTACACTATACTTACAGATTGTGCTCTTACCGAGTTGTCGAAAATATGTTAATAGCATAAGCGTAAAATAGTAAAATCAGTACAACATATACATGCTTTCGTTGCTCAAACCTTCGAAAATCTATTAGCGTAAGAAGAGTTATATAAAAAAATTTCGGGGAAATATGTTACTCATTCGAAAAAAATTTTATATCTAATCAATAATCAAACATTAATTTTTGTGGCATGAGTGTTATTAATACTGCAAACCACTTTACCTAACAGAATTATTCATTCCTTATTATTTTTTAAGTGTGTACAACTACATTTTATGCTTCGAAAGATTATGTGTTTTCATAATTCTGAAATTCTTATGTACATCACATTATCGATTATTCTCGTTTATGATCGGATAAAGATAAGATAATTTCTGGTACAAAACCTTTAAAATATGTATTTACTACTGTAATTAAAAATATATATATGTTAAAATTAAATTTATTGGTTAAATAAAAATGTTTTCTGGAAAGTGGTACCCTTTGAAAATTCCAGGAAGTCAGTTCTGGGTCTCCGATGGTAACGTCTTGAGCAGCCCACGCCCACTTACCGACTATGGCCTTCCGTGGAGAATTACAAAGGTGGACGGAGTTACTGTCAGGGACGGATCAACATATATTTTCAGGTATTTTATTTCTCTTAATTAATCAAAAATGTTAATTAATTTTCAAACAGAAATACAGTATAGGTCTATCTCCTAAACGTCTAATAATATGACATAAACAAATTATTTGGATCACTTGTTCATTCACTATTCAATATCAAAAAAGCGTACATTCGATGTCCTACTGTTTCAAAAATGCACAGCTCTCAACGGGACGAAAGTATGATAAATCTCTTTGGTTCATCTTTGTTGCTAGTTTAAAAAAATGACTTTATTCATGATTGTGGATTGATGGTTGACTATAGTGAATAATTGAAGAGAAGTTATTCAAAGATCAATTTATTCATACAAACGAAGGGGCGTGGCAAGACAAACGTTTTATACGTTTGTCTTGCGATGCCCCTTCGTTTGACCAGCCCTGATGAACGTCGACTTTGGGGTGAAACGTCGATAAAAATAAAAATAATTATGTATTTTTACTATTTTTTTTTACTGATCACCCCAACCATTCTTCTCTTCGACTATATTCATGGTTCAAAATAATAATTTGTGTGACCTATGTTCTAATTGTAAACAAAAGTGTATCTCAGGAACGTCACGGTCCACTAATAAAACTAGATTTTTAATACACCCATAAATCTCTGAAAAATTGAATTTGACATTTATAAAAAATGTCACATATTCTGTAACACTCTATACTTATAGATTTTGCTCATCAGTTTTGTCAAGGTAAATAGAACGTGAAGTATGTCCACCAGAATATAGGTACTGATAATCTAAAGAAAGTGATGGCTATTACCACCAGTAAGTATTTACATCCAGTTGGTGCTGGAGTTCTAAAAAAATGGTAGAACGACACGGTTTTTAAACATAATAAGTATTTTATTTATCTCTCATGAGTGCCACAGTATTGTTTTAAATTAAAATATTATTTTCTATTATTCCTGGCCTGGTTTTGAAATTAAGGGTTAGTTATAGTAGTTTCGTCTAGATGATATATGAATCTATGAGAGAACCATGCAATATTAATGCATTTTAAAATTTTCATAACCTCGACAACTCATGAACGTCACATATATTTATATCGTATGTGTGAGGTTATATTATATTGAAAATATCAAAAACTCATGGACATTTCTTATAATAGATGCCTAGGATAATGATAGAAGACATTGCAGTAGTTAGAAGTTTAACTTTTCTCATTTAATTTTAGTGCGACTATTATTAAACTACTATTACTGATAACCAGGTGGTACGTCAAGTTTCAGTGACTCGCATAAAAATAAAAAAAAATCACATCAGGAAAATATTTTTTTATAAATATATTATATTATACAAAAAAAAATAAAAAAATACTATTTTTTAGCGGATTTGATATCAGTCTCTTTGAATTTTATTATGATTTGTGCAAACATGAAATAAAAAGAGCTAATAAAAGAAAATATAATTTATACGACAAATGAATCTACCAGTATCGTTGGATTTAAATCTAAAACAGGAATTGAAAGACCAGGTCATTGAGTATATTACATAAAATGGTATTTTATTGCAGCCTCAAAAATAATAAATTATTTAATTTGCTTTAAACGTAAATATGATAAATAGAAAAATCCAGCATATTCCACCAAGGCTTACGTAATTACTACAACTTGGTTTTGATGTTCTATTAAAAAAAGAAAACATTTATTTGTAATGGTATTAAATAATTTTTCCTCGTAAAGGTCCTCATTTACTTGGAAAACCTCATTTATTTTGGTCCTCCGTAGCTATTCTGGGCGGGATTTTCTGGTGTAAGTTTTGAATCTTTATTTTGATTAACTACTTTTGCTCTGTGTTGGCTACTTTTGAAATTTTATATCTTATATGAAGACAAGAGGTTTGTGTTCAAATAATGTCGTTAAACTTATAGTTTCCAGGGTTTGCTTGTTTATTCATTCAAGAGGAAGCATATTTTTTTAAATAATGAATAATATAATAAATTAAATGGTGAATAATTTACTAAAGATAAATAAGGTACTTTTATGAATCATACTTTATATGACCTCTGAGTAACTAAAAATTGAACATAATTCAAACGAAATGTCGCTATTAATTTGGGAATAATAGAAAACTTTTTTTTTTTTGTTCTTCCCTACCTCGCCTTTTAGGCTATAGGGGATTTTCCTGGGCCGAGGGTAGGGCGGGGAATTTATAATCCCCTCCGGTACCGAGATGCGAACTCATACTTTTTTAATCTTCTCAAATCTCTTATCCGGTTGCCAGGCAACTCGCGGTGCAGTGCACACGCTTTAGCCCATTCGGCCACCCGCCCCTAATTGGTTAATTACGTGTCATACTGTGATAAATAGTGTTTATACCATACAGAGTTATATTGTCGATTTAAAAAAAAAAATCAGGGGTACCTACCCTCTCTCCCAAATTTACTACTTTTCTTTATAATAGGTTGTATAAAAAAAGTGACCGTTTTCAACCAAATATTTGTATTATTTCTTTGATATAAAATACAATTAATACTCAAAGTATAGTCCATTGTTATCTACCGTCATTAGCCATCTGCTAGCCAATTGCTCGATTGCACGCTGATACCATTCCTTGGGATGGCTGTCAAAGAACTCTTGGACCGCAATTTCAACTTCCGTAAAATTATCAAATTTTTACCCTTAAAGAAAATGGGCCATGGATCTAAATAAGTAGTAATCTGATGGTGCGAGGTCTGGACTATATGGTGGATGAAGCAGAAGTTCAAACCCATGAAGTTCTTTAAACAATTCTTTGGTTTGACGGGAATTTTGAGGACGAGCATTACCTTGTTGGAATAAAATTGTTTGCAGGTTGATCAAAGCAGGATAACGCTCTGAAAGATTCGCGTACAATCTTTCCACTTTTTCGTAGTAGAGTTCAGAACTCATTGAGCATACATCAGGAACAAATTCGTGATGAATAACACCTTCAAAATTCCAAAAAACAACGCAAAACAAGTATTTGTTTTCTAATTGCACTCTTGCAGCAACCGGAAAAGCTGTTGGTACCGCTATCTAGCCATTGCTCACGGGTATTTGGATTTTGTCAGCAAACCCACTTTTCATTACATGTGACAATGTTCCGGTAAAATCTCATATCAGATGAGGTTTTCAACAAATTTCCAACCTTAGCTGATTACTGAGGGGTATGTTCGTGAGAGACCAGTGTACTGCTCTTTTTCACCTTCCCCGTGGGGATTAGATGGCGACTAACAGTATTTTTTGACACACCACATTCCCTGTCAAGTTCGCGAGTATTTGTGGACGAATTTGACTCAACAGCTTACTGCAGAATCTCATCAATATCCATTAATCGTCGCCCGAAGCCCTTCTACCTTTCCAATGTCGTATCTCCACTGCTGAATTTTCCAAACCAATGCCGCGCAGTGCGCTGGTCAAGGATACCTTCCCCTTCATTTTTAATAATTTCTCGACTTTCTTCAGTGGCTGTGAAAACATTTTTCCCGTAATGCCTTAAAATTGCGAGAATTTCGTAGAATACTGTCAGGTTTCTTCTTTGAAATAAGTAACTAAACAGAGGCTTTTTTTGGAGAAGCCAAATGGGATAAAATAAGCTTGGATAATGCTCTAAAGAGATTATTAAGTATTGGAAAGTATATAATAGGATTAAAATATTTACAGTCCTTTGAAATCTTGAATTTGATAAAACGATCGTTTTTTTTTTTTATACACTTTATTATTACATTATCATTTTTATAGATTGTTACTCTATTTTATCATCGGTCATCCACTTATTCCTGAAAAATGTTTCAGTGAGTTACAATACTGGACATACGACGATGAAAAGAAGACATTGGTGAACTCGTCCAGGCCACTAAGCGATTGGGGTTTCCCGCCTAACAGTGACTTAATTCTCGATTCAGTCATGACTTACAAGGACGGTAAGTGTTTAATTCATAAGTATTATTTCTTTCATTGCACAATACAACTATTTAAAAAAATGTTCCTTGTTGTTTTAGGTAATACTTACTTCTTCAAAGGGCAACACTATTGGGAATACAACGGAAGGCTCATGCATCCGAGAAATAGGTGGAAGTCTGCATCCCAGTTCTTGTTGTCCTGCTGAATCTGTTGGATGATAAGCAGCGTTTCTGTGATAATAATATGAACATTAAAATAGGATCATAATAATTTTTAAGTGTTCTAAGGTTAATGTTTTAGTCAATTTATCGCGAATATTATGGTCAAAATGGAGTTTGTTCGTGTTACATGTAAAATTAAACTTGTGCCAAAGTTTTTTTGGATGACAATTGATGTTAATAATGTATTATAATATTCATCATTGTTGGTTGTGAGATAAAATGCACATGGATATATAAATGTACATTAGTAGTTTTAGGATTATTTCTATCGGATAGTTCGATACACAAGCAAGTACTAAAAAAACTCTATTCTTTCCAAGAAACGCCTGTGAATGTGTTTCGGATACTTATGTTACGGAACACTCATTTTAAAGATCAATTAATAATTTAATTTAAAAAAAAATCAATTTATCTCTTCTTTTACTATGCCACATCTTAAAAAACGGCGATTTATCTAACTATCTGGATATAAGAAAAGTCGTTTTTCCATTATGAAATATTTTTTAAAATTTATTCATGAAACTGATAAAAATGCCAGGTATTAACTGAAAAGATCAAAAGCCTAATAAATAAAAAGTTCAATTGGTGGCTTAATCCACACATATATTATTATAATAAGGCTCGAAATCGGTTTTGTACCAAATATAAGCTTCTGTCAGGCTCAAATACCATGAATGGGGTACCGCTGGATTCAGAATTTCACGGGGGGTTAGTGAACCGTATTCTCCACTTTTATTTTTCTTTCTAAAATAAATAAAGTCGATACAAATATTTTGCTAGGCTTCAATACAGGTAGGTCTGTAGATCGATACGGGACAAATTCGACCTTGAAGATTTTGATGCGTACAGCAAGATTTGCAATGCGTACAGCAAAAGGATCGGATAGACTATCGGATCCTGCGTTTTTAAGCCCGAAAACGTACTATTTTCGAGATAACGCAAGGCATAGGGTTCGCATCCACACAAGCTTACGTTAATTGTAGTACTGTCATTGAATACATGTCTCATTTCGTAGACTTGAGGCCTCTATGATCGAGAGATGAGGAGTTTTAAATTATTTTAGTTTTATATTATTCGAATATTATTTATCGATGGTGTTTTTGATCGGCAAGCCGTATCATCGTTAATTCTTCACCAAACCTCAAGATTGAGCTACCAATTTCGAAGGTTTCCTTCTTCTTCAGGCGGGCAAAATGGTCCAATCAACCCGAAAATTCAGGCAAACAAGGTATGAAAGAAAACACACTTTATTTTCGAATAAATAAAAAATTACACTCTTTTCCCTTGGTTATGCCCATGATTATATAAAAAATTCTCTGCAAAAAGAAAAAAAAAATCATCGAAATCGGACAATTTTTAGCAAAGATTCAGACAGCTTATTGTAAACATGTTGCTTCCAAACATTAATGAAGATTTAAAATAATCTTTGTTTCGTTTGTAGTTTATATTTATCGATAAAATAACAATTGATTATTATTATTTTATCATTATTTTTTTTTTCATAATAATTAGGCATTTGAAAACAATATGCTGTGCGAATTTTTCGCACGGGCCTGCTAGTCCATTATAATGTGGCTTAATACATTATTGATAAATTATATTCTACTCTTGATCTATAAGTGCATTCTCTTGAAACATTAGGTTTTTCAGATATTATATTGAAAGGAGTTAACTATATATATGCTTAAACTTAAAGGCGTTGCTCATTTTCCCACCATTTTCATGCTTCTTTTCCCTACCCGTCTTTATTTCTAACTAGAGGATATTATCCCATTGACAAATAAAAGAATGACACCTAACAGAAAATAAAACGTATCTTGAAAAATTCAAAGGTTAACTATTGTTTCTTTATCACTACATATATATATATATATCTGTGTGTGTGTGTGTGTGTGTGTGTGTGTGTGTGTGTGTGTGTGTGTGTGTGTGTTTCTTATGTAATTATATGTGCAATAGAGTTATTTTAAAATTTCTTACTGTTATTGTATCTTATATTCCTTGTTTAATTTATTTGCTTATTTATATAGCATAAGTTAATTTATTTGAAATATGTTTAGTTGTTCGACTTTCTTTTTTTCGTAATCTACTGATACTAGAATATCTTTCAACGATCTTTAAATATAATTAAAATTTTTCTTACTTATAAATAACTTAACCATGGTATTGTCGGTTTATTGTGATTCAATTAAGTGAAATCCTAAAATATCAAAAAAATAAATACTAAATAAAGAGGAATTTTTCTCTGTGAAATCAATATCAATATGAAATCAACACTTGAGGAAACCATTTTTACACTAAATAAGTTTTTGTATCGATAAACATAACCAAAATTCTCAAATAGAATTTTGAAATTTTACCTAATATCAAAAGTATAAATTTATAAGTGTCAATAAACCAATGATAATGTATTATAGCTATTCATTTAGCTATTTATTTTGGATATATATACAAACAGAGATAAGTATATTATTTGTTTTCTGTTTTTATTGGTTTCATACATTTTGTTAAGTTCATCAATAAACCGCAGTCGAGATTTCGATTTTATTTATATAAATAATGGAAAAATAGTCATACTTTATACACAAGTTACTTATCTATGAAGCAATTATTTCATCAGTTTTATGTTGACATTTTTATTAATTTTATGATATCCAATAAAAGCAAAAAAATATTACTGAAAAAAAAAATTCAACACTTAAACGGAAGAGAATGACATCTTTGTAATAAGTTTTTTAGTGTTTATAGATTACATGAATATGTTTTCATTATGCATAGTTTTTATGTTCCTGATGAAAAGCTCTTGAAATGAGCTGTATAGTTTCATTTTTTTTATGTTTTTTTTTTTTTACTGAAAAGTGTGCTAACAATAGGAGTATCAGGAATACAAATTTTCTTTTCAGATTCGTATGTAAAACAATGTATGCCTTAACTTTCCTGTTTGATAAAGAGTTTATAGCTAAGCTCAATTGATATTATATATAAAATAAATAATTGTATTACATATAGGATATAAGTTCCTTTTTTTTAATACATATAAATGTAAAACAAGAGAAATTATTAAAATGAATGAACTATGTCGAATGAGATTGAGTAGTATTTAATTTTTTTAAGCAGTTTTATTTAGTTGATGTAATACTTATGAATATTATTTATTCAATTTTTGATGCTGATATTATTAATTTTAATTACATTTTTTTTACTTTTTTTTGTACTTCTATGATATAAAAAATATAATTATGAAACAAACGCTAAGTATTATTCAAATGACATAATCCCTTGAATCTTGCCATATAAAAACTAAATGATTATGTTTGATGATGATGTCTGATGGTAAATATGATGATAAATGATGAAATATGACGATATATGATGGCAAACGGAATTTCTTTTAGTTTTAAAAGTATTTGTATTTGACTTAGCGAAGGTACAACAAGTAAATGTATTTTGGGATTGAATCGATGAGGCCGAATCAGGTTTTCTAAAACGTGTTCGAAACCTGATTGAATCAGAATCAATAAATTAAAGAAATATAAATTTTAGCTCGCTTTCATTTCGGAAGAGTTTGTTTTTTGAAAATCATATTGAGTAGTCTTCAATTGACTATCATTTTTTACATGAAAGACACAGGAGCTCGGTCCTCAAATTTATTTTTCTATTTCATTTTAAAATTAAGTAACACATATTAAATAATAATTATGTAATTTCTTTTAACATTTTCCGTATAAAGGAAGGTTTCAGTGGTGAATTGGTTTCTCTCCACGGGTCCTGCATTTAACCATATCGTTGGATACATATACATGCCAGATTAAAAGACATTATCATAATGCATTAATAAACGTAGGATTACAATTTATATGTTGTGGAAAAGTCTTCAGGGAATTATAATCAATCAGAGTGAGCTATTACACACCATAAGTATATATCTGCAAAATAAATCTTACATTATACAAGATGAAAAAATCTGCAGTGCCTGTAAACAATATATATTTAAGAGCCTATATATTTAATATATATATTTATATATTTAATATATATATTTAATATATATATATTATATATTTAACCACCTTTTTCTCCAGTGTCCGTCATCCAAAGTACATAGGGAGAGATACCTGCAGCAATATATATCCGATTCACCTCCTTAACATCCTCAATATAATAGACACTATCGAGAAAGAGAACCATATATATTTATTTCTATGATGCGTAGCAATGATAATATCCATTACCAATTGAATGGTTATTAACAGTGTTCTTGTCATTAGGGTATTGAATCGGTTAATAAAAAAAAAAAAATAAAAAAAAAAAAAAAATAAAAAAAATGTTTTTATTTATTAATATGTATGTGTGTATGCATATATATACTATACATGTGCGTATGCATACATAAACGTATGTATGTGTGTATATATATATATATATATATATATATATATATATATATATATTAATAATTGATTCATAAATGAATTAAAATTATGTATCTAATTTCAGATGGCCTATATTTATTATAATAAGAGTGATTGTTTATTTAAAATGCAAGCTTTATTATGAAATGCGGTAAACGACTCACATGAAGACATATTTTCAGTTAGTTGAGGAGAACCAAAGCTAAGCATTATTCAGTAATTTTTCTAGAGATCTCGGTTAGACAGTTACTTACTTCGATTCTCATCCCAACCTACTCCTTCGCGAGCCACATTTAAAAGTTGTACTACTCAAATATGACAACTCAACGGGAGAAATCCGAAAAACCGAATATCTTTAACGCGTTATAGCATAAAACGTGTAAAATTCACTCATTTTTCAACTTTGTTCTTCCCGTTTTCACCTGTTCAAGGTGTCATTCGTTTCAACTTCCCGACCCTTAACAAATGTTATCGTTTATATTTTTAGGAATAAACAAACGGATTAGCCGGAAAATAGGAAAAAAAAAACTCCCAAAAATTTCACCCCGCCCGCCACAATATTCAGATCAAGTCCTAATTTTAAACGGGTGTAAGTGAATCAATATCGAATATTGTTTTAGTTATTTCGTCAGCGATTAACTCAGCAGAGTTTGAAAAAGTGGAGAGACTTCAAATCTTTTTGATTATTTTAATCGACTCCACAATCTTCTCGCTTCATCATAAATGAAAATTAAAACATTAAAACAATTAACAAATTTTAATGGATCGGTGGGGTTCGGTTTAATTGCGTGGTACCTAAACAAATAGCCTAATGACAAAGTTTTTGTTATGACTATTCGAAACCTTCACTTCCATAACCCGAGACATAAAAATATTTAAAAAAAAACTCATCCCCCTTCTCTCCCGACCAAATTTTATGAAATTGAATTTGGACCCTCCCCCGAATAATACAAAATCCATCTCAAAAAAAGATTCTCAAATTTTAACTATAGACCCGTCAACGACGGGTACTGATGGGTATATCAGACAGTTGATTCATAAATGAAGTAAAATTATGTATCTAATATCAGATGGCCTATTGTATTTATTATAATGAGAGTGATGGTTTATTTAAAATACAAGCTTTATTATGAAGTACGGGAAGCGACTCACATAAAGACATATTTTGTAAATATTTAGAATTATTTGTACAAGAAATCATGTTCTGTAACAAATGAAGGAAATCAATATATATATATATATATATATATATATATATATATATATATATATATTATATATATATATATATATATATATATATATATATATATATATATATATATAATATAATACCAATAGTGAGCTTTTACATATTTATACAGTGCTCCATAATTTTTTTTTCAATTCTTTACAA